ACCTTTAAAAAATATTTAGTGTCTTTCTTTGTTTTAGCTTACAGCACCTAGTATTTCCGGGCAATCTCCCATCCAAGTACTAGTAATGCCTAACACTGCTTAGCTTTCAAGATCAGTGAATTTTAACTTTAAAGTCCATTTCCACCTTTCTTAGCGATTAGCATTCCTTGTGGTAATATAGAGGTGCAGTAATGTATATGTGTGCACATTTTCATGACTCACATTGCATGCTTTCTTCATTTGTTTATTTATTGACATATTAGTGCTGAATCCTGGAAATGTAAAATTTTCTCCACAGGAAATTGTCTGACACCGGGGACACATTGTAAAGCAGGCTAAAACAGCTGCCCCCCTCCCTGTGATTCTGTGTAACACGATTACTAAACACCAGCTCTGCCTTTGCACACAATACACTGTCCTTGGGGGGGGTGCCACTATGAATACTAATGAATGGGGGTGGGGGGGGGTTGTGAGCTCAGTTGTAAGGGCCCAGTCACACCATATCCAATGCGGTCTGAGCCCGGAACGCACTGGATTGCATAGATCAGGCCGGGCCACGTTCTGGGGCAGGAGGGGGGTGGCACGCCCCCCACTCGCAGCATGGTCGCCTGCACTAAAACGCGAGGTACAGGAATGCCCTCCGTTCTGGTGCAGTGCGATTGGAGAAAATGCTGCATGCACAATTATTTTTTGATCGAACTGGTATGACTGGGCCCTAATATACACAGTCAGATGTAGCCATTTCCATGAGGAGATAAAGAGGAAAGCTATCAAAAAATACGTTTCTGTGTTTATATACAGCAACTGCATATGCCTGCTTGGTGTCCCTCCACAAAGGTGGAAATGGGCTTTAAGCTCAAGGACATTACTTCTGTCCTTGTGAATACAGTTTGCACTTGTTTGCAGTTAGAACCACCTGCATGACTCCTACTGAAGGTCACGAGTTTGGGGTCCTTGTTCCAAGTTTGTTTTCCAACTTGTTCACTGGTCCACAAAGCCAAGGGAGGGTTTGTCCTATCAAAGCATTTTGCTGCTGGTACCCAGCATTTCCAATTTGTTACGCTTCCCTTCATTCTGCCCTAGGCACCCTGGGTTTTTACCAAGATGTTGGACCCATGGTTTGGTTCCAGGGCTTTCCCATATTGGAGTACTAAGATGACATCCTCAGGGAACAGTTGGCTCCACCCCTATCTAACATTCGGTGAAAAATACAGATCCTACATCGCTTCAACTTGACCTTGAGCTTTCAGAAATGTAAACTTAAGCCTTCCCATTGTTTGGGGTAACTAGGCCTAGTCTTGGAATTGTCTCTTGTTTAGGGTCTTTTTTTCCCCAGGGTATCTTCTGTCTCTGCTCTCACATCAAGGCACCGAGGTCCAGTAGTCAGATCATTAACTTTTGCATGAAGTTGCTGGACCTCATGGTAGCCTCCTTTTGAGGCAGTTTTCAATGCTTTGTTTTACTTCAGGACTTTGTAGTTCAATATCCTGATTGTGTGGTATGAGCTAGTTCACTCTCTTGATCTACCAATCTGCCTGATCAGCAAAATAAAGCTTGCCCAGGCATGGCCGATATCCAAACCAGTGTATTAGGCAGGAAAATCTTCTGATGACTTGTAATGTCCCCTCGACAGATGCCAGCCTACTGGGCTGGGCCAGAATCCTCAGGGGACCTGGTGATTGGAGAAATCTTCCTTCCGATAAGCATCCTGGAGCTCAGGGTTATTTGGTTGTCTCTTTAACGCTGGACTCCCAATTGCAGGGTCATCTGACCAGGATTCAGTCGGACACTGCCACAGCCCTGGCTTGCACATTCCAAGCTTGGAAAATTGGCAGGCAGATGACCTCAGTCATCTACATCTGTACCTCTGAGGTGTTTTGAGGCCTTTGCTGCTGGTGAAGGGACTCGAGATGTGGACCTCTTTGTGTCCAGGTTCAACTAAAAACTGGAAAGGTCTGTCGCCAGGACCAGGTATCCCTGAGCCTTTGCGGTGGATGCTTTAGGGACTTCATGAGATCAGTTTAGCCTGATCTATGCCTTCCCACCTCTGAAACTTGCCTTGCTTCCTTTTGTAGGATCAAGATAGGAGGCTTTACGGTAATCTTCGTCCTCTGACTGTAGTTTATTTTTCTCCAAGCATTTGTCCCTTTAGGGATACTGGAGATCCATCTTGGGAAATGGCAGCTACTTGTATTTACCCATTCCTGTCCCTGTGTTTGAAGAATGTCATGGTACATATCCTACCCTGGTATTTAAAAATTGTCAAATACAGAAAGTTAATTTTCTCTCCACGCGTTACACTAGAAATTGTATTTCATACTGGTGGTTATTAAACTGCTGTAAAATTGCACCAATGATTTTGTTTCCCTTTTTATATTACTTAAATACTGTCAATTTTGTTTCCATAATTGTAATCCTGGTCACGCTCTCCTCCATCTACCATTTTGCTGTGAACAAGTTTTCCAGGCAGGGGATTAAGAAAAAGGGAAGGAGGATATAAGTGTGTGTGTTTCTAATTTATTCCACTCCTGAAGAAGTTGGTAATGAAACGCATTAAGTGAGCAGGGCTTGAGGCATCACATTGGGAAGAGAGCTGTGTAATGCTCTCGGATGTGGCTATACATGCTGTTTTAAAGTGTGCTGTCTGAGCACCACCCAATGAGTTTTAATCCTGTTTTTTTTTAAATTCTGTGTTTATTGTAACAAATAACAGAAAGATACATGAATACCGAGCATAGAGAACGTATTACAGCGCAGATATAAACATTTGAAATATAAGCGGTCTCATAGGAGAGCATAG